TATGAAAATTGTCCTTTTCAATATACACAATATTTTTTTAACGAAAAATATTCAATAATATAAGCTACATGTTGATACGCCATTGATTATGTTATTATTTTGATGTGATTGCTATTTACTTATTAGATCATGCATTCACCCTCTGAGGACTGTATTACATTTAATATATGATCTTAAAAATCTAATTACTTGTATAAAAAATGCATCATATACCTACATGATTGGACATCAAAATTATGTTTTTATTTTATTTAAAACAGATCTAATGTCATATAATTGGTATTCGCGATCAAACAACAATTGGATTATATATTAATAAACCTAAAAGTTCTCAACCACAATGCATTTGTCTTAGGTAGGACATGTTTTACCCTAAAAGACTTCCTAACTCCGAATTAATTGAATTCCAATACATATATTGAATTTGACAATTAGAATAATTGTCGAGTCATATATAATATTTTTTTTTGTTTCAATTTAGGTGATACTTTTCATTTTGGAGAGTCAAACAATTTAAATTTGATCAGAAATTTGCACATAGAATATAATCTTCCATTTTTTTAAAATAATTTATTTGAATCTTAAAATTCGAATACTATCATAATTGGGACGGAGAGAGTACTAATGAAATTTCAACCACTATTAATTGGTACAACAATAAAAACAATAATTTGTTCTCATCTGATAGTCTATAACAGTCCTGCAAATAATAAATTTTGGGAGAAATTCTTGATGGAGGACCATTTAAAGAAAAAGGTTGACAGATGAAAGTGTTTTTGGTATGGAGGAAAATATTACTCATATTTGATTGGTCAAAATATTTTGAAAAATATAATTTTTGGGAAAACAAATACCTTAAAAATGAAAAAAAAATAATTTTGTAATAAAAGTAGGAAAAATAAATTTCGAAAATAACATTTCAAGTTCATTGTTTCATTTCCGGACCCACATGACATCCTAATCCATGCCCCTTGACCATCCCACCCTTAAAACCCCACTCTCGATTTTCTTGGGGGATTAACATGAAAATTTGTTGCAAACTTATTTTCCTGCAAAATTTCATACTAATACCTAGAAAAATTCTTTTATAATTCACAGTTTTATTGTAGTATATCCCATCTCGTCCACATAGTATTTTATAAAGATACACGAATAATATTTTTTTACTTAATACCGAATACTAAAAGAAATAATTAAAATTTTCACTTTTATTTTCCAACAAAACATTGTCCTAGGGTAGGCAACAAAGTTTGTTAAGAGTTAGGCATTTATGTTAATTTTACTTTGTATAGGCAAACTATCACATGATACTGTCCTCTAACAAGTTCTTTGCTTTATTCCATATAAATATATGTTATTTCCCCTTTTTCAAAGCTTTATAGAAGGACAAAGACCAGGCACCAAGATTGTGCTTCATATGAGGATTATAATTGTTAAAGAGTAATAAAATTATTCATGTCATTTGAGGTGAAAAGGTACTGGTAGATGATCGTAAAATTAATTCATAAAAATATGGAGATATCTTTATAAATTTTTTTCGTTGAAATTATTTTTTATGTTGTATTTTTATATTATTTACTTTCTAAATAGTATATGAGTGAAGAAAATATTCAGACAAACGATGTTATTGCAGAAAGTTTTAACTATATATAATGTATATAGGTCCATAAGAAAACGTTTAACAGTAAAAAGAAACTCTATTTTTTAAAATATGTTTATATGTAAAAAAATTATAGTTTTGTTTGATAATTAGACATATTATTATAAGAAAAAATGGAAAAAGAATTATAAAAATAAAGCTTGGTTAGAGTATTTGGGAAAGTTCAGCTATCACGTATATATTGTTCAAATTATCTTAAATTTGGAAATGATAACTCATCATTACGCAATTTATCTTAAATTTACTTGTTTATTTAACATTCCTAACATGTTACAAAGACAAAAAATGGCTTGATATAATACAACATTGTACGTCATAAAATATAAATATTTTTAATCTTCTAAAGTAACCACCAAGGTGAAGATAGGACATTGAAAATAAATAGAAAATTTCAGTTTTGCTCCTTTTTTTTAGTGGAAGTTTTACTCACTCGATTATATCTAGATGTATTTTTTATTTTTATATTATGGATCTTTTGACTTATATGCCTGCATAGAGAAAAAACATTGGACTTAATTATCAGATTCTTCAAAAAAATTAGCCTGTTCACACTAATCACCAAATTATTAATCCAATAGTCCTTTATTTATATGGAAATTGAACAAACCCAACCAATTAATTTTTTAATTATGTATATCAAATGTGAAATACGAATACCCCATTATCATATAGCTTTAGACTTTTTATTATTTGTTTATAATTATTATCTTTTAAAAGCTACTTTTTGCGAATACATAGTGATAGCGGCTAAGTAAAACAAGAATTAAATTGATTAAAGCAACATATAACACCATTATGGTGCAGGATGGAATATAATATGATAATATTCGAAATTTATTTATCTGATTAATTTAAATTCGTATGTTTTAGTATGATTCGTCCTATTAAAGGAAAGTTATTTTGAAAATTTTCTAATTAAACAAGACTTAAAGTTGATATCTCTCATATAAATAGCTCAAAATTTGAAATATGTACATGTGATGTAACTCTAGCTGAAAATTTGAAATATGTACATGTGATGTAACTCTAGCTGAAAATTTGAAATATGTACATGTGATGTAACTCGTAAGTCCATAATAAATATTTATTCAAATCAGATCGATATTACACCAACTCAATTCAATTTACCATGGTTAAGTTAACAAATTAAGCAAGAATTTGTTATCTTGTCCTTCTAGGGAATCTTTACTATTTGATTCACTGTCCGAGTTTATATGATTCATTTTTCTTTTTAAACAGTTCAAAAAAGTAATATATTTTTATATTAAGTAATAGTTTAATTTTTAAATATCTATTCTACCCCTTGATTAAATGATTTATAGCTACACAAATATCTTTCACTTATTTTAGATCACAAATTTTTGAAAGCCTATTTTTCTTAAACTTAATGTCAAGTCAAACTAACTTATATAAAACGGGACGGATGATATATATATATATATATATATTTATAAAACAGGTAGATTATCAACAAGCTACTAGAGTGAACTTTGACCTAATTTATACATAAATGGAAATGAAAGTCAAAGATTCAACTATAATTATCATCTATAAAAGGCAACAAAAATGTTAATCTCTTTCATCATTATCAGCAGAAAATAATTAACTTGCTGTTTATCTCATACATTTTTCATTTCAATAATCTTCTTAGTTAAGATGGCATTTAACTTGTCTATGTTTATAATTATGTTTTCATTAATTGGAATTTGTTCAGCCGATTTATCTTCGGACTACTATGAAAAATCATGTCCAAAAGCTATGTATACAATTAAAAACGCTGTGGCGAATGCTGTTACGAACGAGCGACGCATGGGGGCCTCGTTGCTTCGTCTTCATTTCCATGATTGCTTCGTTAATGCACGTTCACTTCTTAACACTTTTATTTTTGTGTCTCACGCAACTGACATAAATTGCGTTAACTCCTTAATCTTAACATTTATTTTTGTATCTCACACAACTGACGTTTACAGTGACACGTCATGTTTTTATTTTTAGATTCTTTCCAAGATAAAAGAGCGACAACATATTAAGTTGTGGACTAATAATGTTAAAAAATTTCGTTTATTTATTTATTTTGAAATATTTATATTTTTTTTTTGACAGGGATGTGATGCATCTGTATTATTGGATGATACGACTGATTTTACTGGAGAGAAATCAGCAAAACCAAATTCAAATTCAATAAGAGGTTTTGATGTGATTGACAAAATCAAATCTCAAATAGAAAAATTATGTCCTGGAATTGTTTCTTGTGCTGATATTATAGCTGTTGCTGCACGAGATTCTGTTGTGCTCGTAAGTATTTTAACTAGAACTCGTTTAGTTGTCTTATTTTAAGTGTTTTAAGTCAAAACAATTTCAGCCAATCCAAATAGACTCCCTATCCATCAACAAATTTTAAAAAATAGCCATTTCCTAAACCCAAAATATTCAATTTAAGTAATAAGCTCGAACTTATAAAAGTAAAATTTAATCATAGTATTATGGACGAATATCCAAAAATGTTATGAAATTTCACTCTTCATTAAGTTTGAAATTCACGATATTATCATACATTTCAGAAATCATGACATTTATGTTATCAATTTGTCCCTTGTTATTAAAGTTCAAAATCAAGATATTGTTGTGACTTGTGGTATTTCTACATCAAAGTGGCTATATCTTACACAAATTTCCAAAACACTGGCTATCTTTCAAAAATCAGTTCTATTAATGGCTATTTCATACAACTTTTACAATTTCAAGTTCCATAATAATTTGGGCCATAATTATGATTATAACTCCATTAAATTTGTTGGACTCAGTTAGGTGGGCCTTCATGGACAGTGGAATTAGGAAGAAGAGATTCAACAACAGCAAGTTTGGATACAGCAAATAGTGATATACCTTCCCCTTCATTGGATCTTAATGACCTTATTACTAATTTTGCCAATAAAGGCTTCACTGCTAAAGAAATGGTTGCTCTTTCAGGTAACAAACTTTTTCTTATTAAGATGATTTTATGTAAAATTAAATTAAATTTATAACGATAACATATCCAGCTTAATCCCACAAAGTAAGGTCTGGAGAGGATAAAATATATACGTATACATTATCCCTATCTTAGAGATGGTAGTAGCATTTTCTAAATTGAAAATAATAGTTCGAAATAAGTACTTAGGCCCGAATAACCATATATATATACATACACACAAATAACATGACGTAGAAAACCACTTAATTCATGTTGCTATCTATGTGTACGACAATGATCATATATACAATGTCAGTGTATATAATTCAAATTTGTTTGACTCCAATTATTTTGCAAAGTATTTAACTAAGTTTATATTGTCGGTTTATAGAAGTTAAAACCAAAAAAAAAAACTAAGTTTAGTTTACTAATTGATATGTATATTTTCATGTATATAGGTGGTCATACAATAGGCAAAGCACAATGTACAACATTCCGAGCACGTGTATACAACGAAACAAACATCGATTCATCTTTAGCTACATCGTTGAAATCCAACTGTCCTAGTACTGGTGGAGATGATACCCTTTCATCACTTGATGCAACGACCCCTGTATTATTCGATAATCATTTCTACAAAAACTTGGTTAACAATAAAGGAATACTTCATTCTGATCAACAATTATATAGTGGCGGTTCTACAGACTCTCAAGTGAAAAGTTATAGTACTAATCCTATAGCGTTCGATGCGGATTTTGCAAAAGCTATGGTTAAATTGGGGAATTTAAGCCCACTTACTGGAACTAATGGCCAGATTCGTACTAATTGCAGGAAAATCAATTAATTAAGTAATTTAGCTTGAACCTATAAATTTTTATAGTATGTTTGATTATGTGTGAGTTAATTTTAAGTTTGTATTGCGAAAAAAAAAATCTCAACTTTTAATTTATAATGTGTTTGTATTTTTTGTTTTAAGAAGAAACAAATGTTTGCATGAATAAAGACTTTAATTTTCCAAATTTATCGGATGTCCAAGAAGGGAGTTAAAGTTTTCAATTAATTGAATTGTGTAATTTTAATATATTAGCTTGTGAATATTAACAAATTCATCATAATTATTAATTATTCCACTTTTTAATTACTTAAATGTTATGTTGAGTTTGTGTTGTTACACCATATTCGACACTAATATTGACTAATTAATAGAAAAATAGAATACGTTTTTTTTTACATGAAATGACCTTAAATACATATTGTTGGTATAGCATGTTACAAATAAAATATATTATCATTGAAAATATAATGTCAAAAAATGAATAAATAATCATTCGGGTTGATGCGAGTCTACTGAAATATAATCTACATTGATCCAACAGATTAATTAAATGACACATAATTGAGTTTCATGTTTCATAACCTATATAAAAAAATCAAACTATTTTTTAATTAAATTACCAACATCTTGAGATTGAAGAACTATTTTTTTTTATAAGAATAATCTTGAGAAAGAAAGAAAAAATAAAATAAAAATGACTCTGCCGCCTGTATAATTAACACATATATAATATCTACGTCTAATTATGTTATTATTCATCTAAGTTGACTTACATGATTTTAAAATATTTTAATTAAATGGACATTGTATACTTTATAAAACCTACATATTTTTCAAGACAAAATGGGAACCATATCATTGAAACTAATTAATAACCCATGTGATCATGACTTAGCAGTATGAATAGTGTCTGCCTAATTTTATAATATTCCAATATTATTTTGATGTAAACATGTATATACTAAAATCATTTTTAGAAAATACAGGTATAGCATTCTTTGACTGATCCAAACCCTCTCAACTTAGATAAACTTTAAAAATAATAACCATAATATGTTAAGTGTAATTTATCAAGTTACTGTAAAATACTTACAAGTATTTAGAGGATATCTTATGTATTAAATTTTGGCGGTTATTTTTTATACATAAATCTTTTATATTATATTTTAGATCTGTTTCTGTCAATTAGTTTCTATCTATGAACCTTGTATTATATTTTAAATCTGTCTTTGTCAATACACGTATGTCAGTACCAAGAAAAAAAAAATTCCCATTGTACTTTTTTTTCTTTGTTAGTATAATTTATTTCTTTTATATTATTACTTGCCAATTTAGAAATTATAATTTAGAATAGAGTGGCTAGCTAGGCTATAATATAACTAATCCTACTCTTTTGATGAACTCCACACGCCAAGAAAACTCAAACCACATACGTTATATTATATAAAAGATACATTCCTTGCTGAAATTTTAATTAATTAATTGACACCAAATATATAACTAACACACTTGTAAATTTCCAAGCCTAGGAAAATGAGATTCTTTTCATCGTTTACGTCAAATTAAAACTCAATTTTTTACAGAGAAAATTGTTCGAATGATAATTATTTCGAAATTGTCTACTTTAATTTTTAATTAATATTAATTTTTATTTATTTAATATTTTATCTATATTAAATGCCGTATTAAAGTTTTTCATATAAAAGAGAGAGTGCACTACACACATACTGGAGTGTGTTTCTCAAAGTAAAAAGTGATAGTTTATATATGAAACTCACACTTTCAATAATTTAAGTATGAAATTCAAAAAAGAATAAAAAATTAAATGTGTTTTTGACACTTAACTCAAAAGATGATTCCAACATGAAAAACCTTATTAACGTTATAAGCTATAGTAATAGGGGTCTAATTAATTTTGCAGCCTATATAGTTTATTAATGGTCACTAATTTGTCTTGACATCAAAAATGATTTTCAGTTGGCTTAAGGAATCTCTCGATATTTGCAAAAATCATATTTAAAATTAGCAACAACAAATAAAGTAGTTAATTTGTTAAGTCTAAGAATAGAGAAGACCTAATTAAGTCTGGTACAATTTGAGGGGTTTTAATTAGTTATATTATATTTTAAGGGTAAAGTTTTTTTACTCAAAAAATGCAATTTTATTAGTTATAGTAGAACATTATCTATTTTTTTTAAGATTACAATTACATTAATAACAATAAGAACAACATATTAAGTGTAATCATATAAATAAAATTTAAAGAGAATAGAATATATAACGTTACACGATATGGTATAAAGTATCGATATAATATACATGAACTAGTAAAAGAAATTTTTTGACGTCATCTATCAGAATTTGAATTCGAGATGAGAATTAATAATTTACCTCAAGTTATTTTATTTTTTAATTAAAAAAAAAGGCTATGCATGCATGTCTAAAAATAAAAGAAAAATCTCTTCCAGATACAAATTGAAAAGCACAAATTGAGCATTACAAAATCAATGAAAATTAAAAAGACAATTAATCATCATCAAATATCTCTCTAGCTAGCTGTAATTATCATAATTGGAGATACAATATAGTATGTATATATAATAAAATCCTCTTGGCAATGACAAGTTTGAAAATTAAAAAAAAAAAGTGAACTGAAAATCCTCCAAATATCTTTCCTTCAATAGTTTGATCTGTTTCATTTTATGTGACATATGACTATTGCTGATCAAAATACGATATGTTATTATTAGTAATGGCACTAAAGTTTGCCACACTAGACGAGGCCGGTGTGTATAAATTAGAAGAAGTTGATGATGCAGAAGAAGATGATGACGAAACCACCACCACGGAGGGTGGTGGTGGTGGTGGTGGCGGAGTAGGAGGAGCTTGTGGTAGCTCAGGTGGCACAGAGGTGGAAATAGAAGCAATAAGACTATTAGCAGCTTCTCTATATTTGTATCTCAATATTTCAGCCCTAATTGTATTAAGCTCAACTTGTAAATTTTGAATTTGTTGTTGTAGAGTTGAAATTGCACCCATGCATCCATACACTGGATCTCTTAGCCTCACATTTGCTTCATATACCAAACTATTTGCTGCATCTGCCCTTTGTCCCACTGGCACCTCCTAATTAAAAAAAAAAGAAAGTCACAACAAGATAAACGTTACATTCTAATTTATAAAAAAATATATAAGTATTAACATACTTTAGCCAATTATAGTTCATGGGAAAAAATGGAGGGGGTTCAAAATAACCTAAACATTTTGATCTTGGAACATACCTCACACATTTATATACATCACTAAAATTTCAACAAATATTAAAATTTAAAACATATGATGTCAACAAATATATATTTTTTAATAGAAAAGATGTTATAACTTATTGCTAATTAGTTTCAAGTCCTAGATCCGTCTTTGATCATAGAAACATAGTCAATGATGGAAGGATGATTTCATCTATAATATATACATATATATAGTGTGATTTTCCTGCGAAAGGATATGATCAACCCCTTTTAGCCACGATTTATCCCAAGACATTAGTATCATTCAAGCGATCTGATAGTATAGTACTGTTGATGCATAAAAGTTAACCTCAAATACAAGTTGTAGATATATACCATTAGCAATTTGGAGACATTGCTTGCCCCAAATACTTTATGAACAGCAGCAAATTTGTGAGGTTCATGTGGGGAAAAATATGGAGAAAAAGGGCATTCCTCAGCACATCTTCTTCTTAAAAGTTTACAAGCAGCACAAGGTGTAACATTGTTCAATGTTGTTCCTCCCCCAACAGGTCCCAACACGTGTCTTCTTCCCATTTGTTGTTGCATTTGTAGCTGTGAAATATCTATCTCTGTCTTTAACTTCTTTCCCATCTCATCTAATCTCTCCCTATTCATCACAACAAAAAGTCAAATATAAAATCGACCAGAACCAGATTCAGAATTTGAAGTTTCATTTTGTTGGTTCTAATATGTATTTGTTGAAATTCTCATTAAATATGTAGGGTTTTGACCTAAGCTAATGAACTAACTCCCATGCGATCGAATAAGAATTTTCAATAAGGAAAATCAAGTTATGAAGTAGTAATTGAACACAATAGAAAATTATACGATATAATTATTTTTTTTGGCGAATGAACTCCTTGAGACCCTAGCTCCGCGCCTTTGTGCATTTGACCTAATTAATCTATAATTCTTAAAAGGAATTTAACAACAACGATTAGATTATAATGATTTGAAGATGTAAATTAATTAGTGTTACGTACCTTTCTCTTGACATTCTAGATATGACTTGAGGTTAATGGAAGATAAATTGAAATTAAGATGAAGATAATTGAGTTTTCAAAGGGAGAGGGAAAATGAGAAAGGGGATTCTTAAAAAGGCAAGACAAAGGTTAATTAATTAGAAGAAATAATTAAATGTACTTTCACAAGAAACTAAAAAAATATTATTGATTGCCAGCTGAGTCAAAGCTTGCTCACGTGTGACTAATTGCATCTATTGACTTTTCATCACTACCAAACTTATGTTTACTAAAAAAAAAAATAGTTGAAATTTTGTATAGTACCCTATAAAAAAATATATACACAATCAAAATCAGTTATTATTAAATGATATATATTTTATTAATGTATAAAAATTTTATCAAGCGATTGAAATATTCTTATTTTTAATTTAATGTATTAATCGAGCTTTTAAAAAATAAAAAAATAATTTAAAATCACACCTCCAAAATAAATAATGATGGAAAAATAAATGGGAAAGCAACGAAGAAAAGTCCAATTTCTTGCTATTTAGTGTCACCGTCAATAACCAAACTCGTTTACCCGTTGAAAATATTTACATGTCGTCTTGGATTCTTATTTCAAACACTTAAAAGCTAAGACAATAACACTATATATATATATATATATAATATCAGATTTACATAATTAGAAATAATTCTATACTTAAAACATTTTCATCTTAATTATCCGTGTGAAAAAATTGGAAAACAATACTAGTAAATGGTTGCCAATATATGATTCAACTTGTAAATACATCATTTCGGATAACTTTCAGCTACGAAACAAAATATAATTATAAAAAAATATATTTTATAATCTAACATAATATATGGGAGTATATTAAGAAATAACAAATATAATAAACATGTTAAGGTTTTATACTATAGTTTCAGTAGTTGTGCTTCATAACTATAGTTCCATTTGCTTTATATGGAGGCTGTGGTTTGTATATTTCACTTGTCTGTTTGTATATCTCACTAGCCAATATAGAAACACGATTATTTACTATGATTTTTTTTATAAACCGTAGACAAACAACTAGAATAAATATATACATATTCTGATTTTATACGATTAGGAATCGAATTATACAAATTCTGAATTTATACATCAGAATCAAATAGCAAAAATTCACAAAATTATAGTCACATATTAAAAATAATCAATATTATAGCTATATAATATACTCTAAAAGACTTTTATGATAGTCGCTTAATTTTCCTCATACAAAATCTATTTCAAAGAAAACATTATTATAAAATATGATATGATATTTATACAAATTAAGGTGTGGGAACATGGAAAAGCATTGGGAGGATAAAAATAGATATAGTAATTATTTTAGGAAAAGAGATTGAATGAATGGCTTGCTTTAAATGGAAGGAAAATGCATAGATCTAAGTTTAGTTTGACCCGTATTTTTAGCCTATAAAATCGCCCTCTTGTTTACACCAATTATTTACTCATCAATAATTAACCTTCACCAATTACATAAGTAGAGTTTAATTAATGCATAAGGGTAATTTATTTATTTTACTTAACTTAATCATGAGCATCTAAAATACTACTTATGAATAATAATAAAGAATCGTTTCAAGGATGAAAGGTCAATGAAACTCATATGGCTTTAGTAAATAAAATTTGCTCTCAGATAATTAATTTTCTTGTGAGTGAATAACTTATTTCTTTTGTTACTTTATTTCCTCTCCTTCACATGCCTCATTAATTAAATTCGACTTTGATATTCACATTGTTAATTTGTTCATATTTATTATTCAAAGTAGCTGGGAATCTGTTGCCATGCATGTGATTTGCCACTTTTTAACGTCATTTATTATAGATAATAAAATTAATAAATCAAAATACTGTGTGTTGTATTCAATGAAAACTAGAGGCTATATATTTAATTTATGTATACAAAGATAATCTATGTATCAAATTAGTTCAAAAAATGCTATGCAGGTTTAGTTGGGCCTAATTTATTTAGTTTAGGATGGCTAGACAAAACTTGGGCCGCATGTTTAGAAAAGTCCATTTATTAACTTGGGCCGTGATTAAGATTGGGCTTGATGTTTCATATACATTTCCACACTGAATATGTCGGTCTTTGTTCGATCGTCGTGTAAGTTCTAGGTTGATTTAACTAAAAGAGAATCTTTTCTATGATCGAATTTGAACCATGGTGTACATGAGCAAGCCAGTATAAGTGAAGTAGATATGAAACATAATCTTAATTCCATTTCATTATTTATAAGATTGAATGGTACGTAAATATATTAATATCTTCTACGCTCCCTCTAACACATCTTAATCACACAAACACACCGATAACTCCCATGCATCCTCACCAGTCCACTCTCTATCTATCTTGATATTTATTTAGATTATATACAAATTCTTTTTTTTTAAAAAAAACTAATTATTTTCCTTTTTATTGCAAAAAACTAAAATATTTTCCATAGAAAATGATGATTCTATTATGTGCTATGACAAGGGGTCATGATTATTGGTCCGACCAGGCCATGTTCATGACTCCAAACAATTTGCTAGCTCCAGCACATTCTAAATTATTGTTTTAACGTACAAATAATGATAATGAAACTATAAGCTTTTAATTTTGATTAAAATGGCCCATATATATATATACTCTTTGGCCCTAGTCTACTTTGATTTTCTTTAATTCTCTAGAAGGAAAAGAAACTGATATAATCAAAATCAAAACGTGATGAAACGTTCATTTAACGTCTACGTAGGGTCAACTCTATGCTTAGTTGAATAAAACATTGGCCTTAAGCACCTAATTTTAAGGGCCTTAAGTTTTTTACCACGAATAAATTATAGACTAATTGATTTTATAGAAAAAAAATCATTTATACAAATATATATAGAAATCTGGAATATACTGCAAAATCAACTCGTTATTGATTGATAACTAACTTGTATTCACAAACAAATACATTAATATCAACATCTCAATTAAAATTGGTATCACTTACATCAATCTTCACTTATATGGATCCTTACTAATTATAATATTATAAACATATATCAATTAAATCCAAAATAAATACATAAATATAAGCAACGATATATTACACACAAATAGAAGACAAGAAAATGGTATGTATCTACAATATGAACTTCCACTCACTGTTTTTTGTTTTTTTGTAACTTTACATCAACAATAGTATTTGAATAAAAAAAACAAAACATGATTTTTTTTTGTAACTTGGTAAAAAAAAATAAAATCACCCAATGCTTGAAATTTAGCTGTCGGAAATGTGAAGCTCTGTTCCGCGTTGGCTCAAAATTACGGGCTTCAATTTATTCCTCCATACGTCTTTATACAAATCATCATTACCATCAATTTTTTGAATTTCGACGACTGTTAATCGTTCGATCAATCGATATACGTTCAAATTCAAATTCATTGTTAATTTACCGTTTTGTACTTTCATATCGATTCCCCAATCTTTTTTCTTCTTCATCCTGAAATTCTCCTTCTTCCCTACCTCTTCAATTCTCTCAATTACACTCTCCGGCGACTCTTCCACCACTATCCTCTCCAAATCATCCACCGGATTGTTCGATTTGAACAATCCAGAAATGTCTAATCCCTGGGAGAACGAAATTATATCAAACGCATTCAGAGAATTTGTTAACGAATTTATCTTACTATTTTCTTCCTCTTCTGAGAATTTGATAAATTTCAATCCCTTTCTGAACCATGGATCTCTGATGATTTCTTCGATCGTAATTCTGGTCGCCGGATTTACATCCAGAAGACGAGATAGAATCCGCTTACCGTCCGGAGAGATCCATTTCGGGCACCGGAATTCGCCTTTGTAGATTTTTTTGTACATTAACATCAGATTCTGATCGTAGAACGGGAAGTAACCGGCGATCATCACGAATAGCATAATTCCACATGACCAGATATCTGTTTTAGCTCCGTCGTATCCTTTAATCGTCAAAACCTCCGGTGCTACATACGCCGGAGATCCGCAAACCGTATGTAGAAGCCCGTCGAATGATTGAATTTGATCCGTTGTAGCACTAAGCCCGAAATCGGAAACTTTCAGATCTCCATTTTCGTCAATTAGAACATTCTCAGGTTTCAAATCGCGATGGTAAATTCCACGTGAATGACAGTAATTAACCGCGGAAATCAATTGCTGAAAGCATTTCCGGCTGAGATCCTCAGTGAATCGGCTTTTACTGGAGATCTGGTTGAATAATTCGCCTCCTTTCACGTATTCCATAACGAAATAGATCTTCGTCTTCGTAGCAAGCACTTCATAGAGTCTAACAATGTACGGATGTTGCAGCTGCCGCATAATGCACACCTCGCGCTCGATTCTATTGTTGAGAATACCATCTTTATTCAAAATATTACTCTTGTTAATTATTTTGATTGCGACGCTCTTTCCGTTGCTGATTTCTCTAGCGTGGTACACTTTGGCAAATGCACCACAACCGAGTAGCTTTCCTAGCTCATATTTTCCGAATATAGGCTTCTCCGGCATCGGTAAATGGATGCCGGGATCGAATTATTTGGTATATTAAATACGATTAATAAAGAAGAAGCTGAAAGATTGGTATAAGTATAATTATTTTGTTTTTCTATATGAATTGGTATGTATAAATATATTGGAATAGTTCAAAAGAAGAAACTTCTTGTCTAAGCTCATAGTTTTAAATACTCTTAACATGTCTACTATAAATGGTCTTTGAATTGGCTAGTCATCAATTTTTTTTCTTAAAAAAACAATATTTTTAGTCAATAGAAAAAAAAGTCGGTTTTGGCTGTGGGTTACACGTTTTAGTCATCCAATGAATTTTGATTTTTTAATTATTATTTCTTTTAAGTATTTTCATACATACAAGAATTAATAAAAATTAAAAATAACATCACGCACCACACACTTTGATAATGTTTTCAGATTTTTTTTCTCGCTAATAAAAATTTGAATTTTTATGTATGTAGAATGCAATCGTTTCACTAATACACTCATAATTATGATCTGTGATTTATAATACAAAAAATTATTGATATAAAGGGTTGCTTGGCCACTATATTATGTACATACTAGTTGAGTATGAATATATTTATTCAACTATATACTATACAAATTTCAGTAGCGTTATAACAAAATCTAACTTGAAAATAATAATATTATTTTATTTTTTAGATTGAATAAGAAGACCGTGTATATGTGATTAAATAAAATTATTTTTAATAAATAATAATGGTCGGTATTAGTCCAACACGTAATGCATAAACATATCATGCCGGTTTAATTAAATATATATATAGTAATTAATAAGTTAAGCTTCTAGGTTCCTTATTGTTGGTGCAGTTGAGAAATGGGAAAGGTAACAACAGAGAGTATTAGATTAGGGAAGACTATTATTACTATAATTTAATTAAATAATTAAGATAAAGTAAATATGTTTAGGGGAGAATGACAAGTGTCCACGGTTTAATTGACTAATAACGCGTACACTTCGTAAATTAATTAACCCAGAGATTGCCCACATGCATTTAACACTTTTTGACAAAACCATATCTAGTAATAGGACAATTATTACTCATATACATCAAATTTATTAGTATTAATTAAAAGACGAATGTGTCATTTTGTTAGAGGAGATGTATTTTTACATTATGGTTTTTTTTGAGCATAAATATATATTCACATTATAATATTATATAAACTTATGTCCGATGTACTTTTGCCTTTTTATTTATTTATGTTTTTCTATGCATAAATTCAATCGTTAAAGATGAATATATTTGGAAGGATAAAATAAATAAAAACCAGCCATTTTAAAGGATAATTCGTGAATAAATAAAAACCAGCCATTTTAAAGGATAATTCGTGCAATTTCATCCCTATTCCAATGGTGCATAGACCTATGGTACATTTGGCCATGCGATATGGCATGGTGATATAGAATTATGATATATTATCAGAATATGAAATTATGAAATGTAATTAAAGTTTTGTTTGGATATGCGATATGTAATTTTTGTGATATATATTTTCTTATAAACATAAAAATCTCAGAAGTTGTAAAATTATTAAAATAACTCAAATTGTTTATTTAATCTTACCAAATAACCAAAAAAATATAAAATTGCATAATAAATTATTATAAAGTTATTTATTTCGTAATTGTTTTTATCAAAATTATAAAAAATTGAACATACATTTTAGTGAACTAGTCTTTAATATAATTTTCTCACATAATAATAAAAATTTTCTCACGTTAAACTTGCATTTCTCGATCGTCTTGAATAAATTTAGTAAAAACGCAATTCCTAATTCTAATTTTACTTGGGAACTCATATTACCTAAAAGGAATCTTCGCTGGTTCAGTCCTTTTGTGTTTGCCTTCGGTAAGAAGATTTATGTTATCAACTGTAATCAGCTTATGTACAATGAGGATTGTAAGAATTATTATTAATTCTTATTAATTATGTTTTACTTATGACCCAAGTTTACTTGTAATTCAAGTAATATCATAAATAATATTTAATAAGGAATATATTTCGTTCGTACATTGATTACTTGATGGATGTACCACATTAAATCATAACCTCTATAAATTGGTCCTCCCTTCTTTATTAGGGCTAATCACATATTCTCTACATCAAATGAATAAAAATAGATCACGATAAGATTTTTAAAAAAAATCGCGCAACATAACTGATCTATTATTGCTTGATAAATTTCAATGTCTTACAACAGAGTAAATGAGGTAAAGTTTTTTTCCGTATGATCAGGTAAGACGGTATATAACAGGCATCGATACTCTTTTCCGAATTCTGTGTATATAGCAGGAGTTTTAGTGCACCTGCTCGATTATTGCATGATTTTCTGTGGGCTATTGATATCATCCTTATAGGTGTGGGAAAACAAATCCTTGCATAGTTCACCGTAGAATCTGCAGACTAAGTCGATAAAAACAGGGCTTTTTAAATTTTTCCAACAGTATAACAATTCTTCTACATCCATTATATCCCTCATTTTCCCTTCTTCAACAATCATTTCAGCCAGATAATTCTCGAAGCTTCTACATGCATCTTCAACATCATCCTGAAATATTACTACTTCTTTTTTAGTAGCTCCACTTAATCTTGCATATGCTGGAGTAATTGGTGAAGGAACTGGTGCTTTAATATGCCCTGCATTGCAAAAATATCCACACATTTTTATTTATTCATTCAACCCGTTTAAGTTTACACAGGTTGAGTTATAATTTATTCGTTGATTCTACACATACAAAATGAAATTTGGTACCCAAAATATTTAGCTGATAATTCAATAAAAATGCAGAGTATATTTAGCGTTCACTTAAGGTCCAAAGCCCGAGAAGCCTTGCACCTTAAGGGAGGGCGATGCAGGTAGTCAATCATAATGCAAGCATTAATAGTGGTTGGTTCCATGACCGGAAGACATGTAGATTATGTCATGTTTGGCTATTTGACTTTTTTTTTTGGCAAATTGATTCATGCCCCGTTATTTGACCCAAAGAAATTTTGGTCAAATTGATCATGACCGTTTATTGATTTGACTCATTTTAACATGTTCGAGTTTTACTATGTATACTCGCCCATTTGCCACCCTTTACCTGAAAAACTCTTGAGTGCCATGACTTGGTCCTCCTCTCTTGGTTTTGATCTCCTTATGAAACGAAACACCGAAAGAACTTGTGAAGCTTGCTTTCTACGGGTGCTTGTATTGCTTTCACATCTTGTTGAAGGACGAAAAATTCGAAGCCTTCTTATGAAGAGAGGCTTTCTTAGTTTGAACTTGAACAACTTTACTATTTTCTTGCATGGATTATTGAATTTCAAGCAACATGAAGTGTTCATTTTCATATTTTTTTTGTACCTCAAACGGTTGAGAAAAGAGTATAAAAAGTGAATGATGGTTTTAATTTGGTATTTGACAAGAGAGTTGTGTGGTGTTATATGAGATTAAATTTGTTGAGTTTGGTGTATTTTGGAGAATAATATGTCGTTGGTTGCACGTTTGATTTAGAAGAAGAAATTAAAGGTGGTATACCATGAAAGAAATGTCACCAACTCTTGCTAGCTAGTTGTAATTATATATTACTAATACAATATAGTTTTGAATTAGTCGAGTTGGTAAAAATATTAGATACCAAATGATTTTACAAAAATAAAAAGATAAACAAGATGATTTCAAGAATCATTAGTCTCTCAACTATATTAGGTGCGCGTAAACTATAAAGTATTTAATGAAAGACCTAATTGATCTTTCGACTTCAATTGGATTGGTTGAACTTTATTTTTTCCCTACCCATAGGTCTTCATATTTCTTCCTTATAAGTAGTCTCACACCTTTTTTATCCTTTCATCTTCTTTGTAATCAAGAAGAATTTCTTTTCTACTAGCAAGAAAAGTTCACACTATTGGGCCAAAAATAATTTTCCTGGAGGCATGTTTTGAGTCCAACAGTCCATATAATCATGGGCCTATTAGCCCATACCTTTCATAACAAAATATAATACCATTAGTCTGTTACTATTACTGATCGATTCTAGCAATATGTTCTAAAGACATCAATAGCGAACAAAGGATGAACTTCCAATCCAAGTGAACTATGTCACCAAAAAGCTCAGTCTTTGCTCCTTCGTTACCTAAAATATTCGCTACCTGTCTTGTTCGTCCCAAGTGTGTCTAAGCATCAATTTAACTCATCAACAATGACCTAAATTCACATTAAACTTAGACGTTAAAAAAAAGTCATCAAGTCCAAGGAAAATCAAATTTGTATGATTATAACTTTAATGAAAAGCAATTTATATGAGATGATATCAAAACAAGTAATTTGCATGCAATGTATATTAATATGTCTCTATTTTAACGCATGCTAGTAAAATTATGGACTATATATTATACCTTTTAATAGTAAAAAAGAATGTGACAACTTGCAATTTTCTTGTTTGATGACCACAACCTTTCCATAGACATATCACTATGGGCATGTGTTGTTACTAATGATAAATCATCATCATTTTGCCATTTCATTTTTTGTGAAGGGGCCAAGTCAGACTTCATAAAGTCCCACGTAAGATATTCATCTCCAATGAACAAATTAATGGACAACTGATTATTCCTCAAATGTCAGAAAAAGAAAAAAAAAGACACAAATTCTTCATTTTATCTCTAGTAAAATTCTAAAAGATAGCTTGTATGTTGCTCTTCTGAAGTATTTTGGTTCCTTTCTCCTCCCGACTTCCTTTTTCTATTCTTTTTGCTAATCAGAATTTTCATCAAATACGTTCAACATCTATCTATCTATATATAAATAGTTACTTTGTATATATACACAAAATCATACAAAATAATGAACCTCTTGCTGAAAAATTTGTTTTCCTCACTATCAGATGCTAATTTATTCAATCAGAGTATGGACCAAAATCATTATTTTAAAATAGGTGTGACAGTTTGTCTTCTGACTTTTTATTACTGTCTGAAGTGTGAAAAAACTAAACTTCCCCATAACCTGCACAAAATATGTAAGACCAAAATCATAATAAGCACCGTCGGTACTTTTTAAATTTTGAGATTCAAATATGCTTATTTTTTATTAGAATTTTTTCATATATCTTATAAATTAGTTTATAAGATATATTATTTTTAAAAATGGAATCTAAAAGAAAAAATTGAAAATTTTATGCGTAAATTATAAGTCAAATTTAAATTATTTAATTTTCGAAAAATAAAAATGCTACATAAATTGAGATAGAAGGAGTAACAGAATAACTGGCTTACATACATAAAATGATAAAATAGAAACCACTGTTCAGTCTGTGCTCCACTTGCTCTTCATGACATATCTTCATCAGGAGAGACACTGTTATTATTAGGAGCTAAATTTTCTTTTTTCTTCCTTATCATTGTACAATATAAAATTTATAATTTTTTTTATTAAATTCGTCCGAATCCATGAATCCTATCTAACTACGCCTTTTATCTATAGGGTCCCCCCTCTTCCTTTTTTCCAACACTATTTATTCAGCACAAACTTTCATTATTTGGCTTAGATAGAAGCAAATTTGTTCCTTCAATGGGAAATCACAAATTCAAGTTTTCAGATATGATGCCAAACACTTGGTTTTACAAGCTTAAAGATATGAGCAAAACCAAAAACCATAAATCCCCATTTTCATCTTCTTCTACAAATAAGTCACAATATTCTCAACCAAGATCATCATTTTCTTATACTAGAAGGTCCATTAGAGTTGACAAGATTTACAATTCTCATTCTTATAATTTTCTTGATCAACCAAGAAGATCATCATCGTCTTCATCTAAGAAAAAATCAAAGAGAAAAACTATTTACAAGCCTTCGCCTAAACACATTCCTTCTTCTGTTACCAACTACGTCTCAGTCTCAAACAAGTTGAATACTTCTTCTTCTGTTTACTCAACAGAAGAAGATAAATTCCCTGAATTAGATTTCCTCAACTCTCCATCCTCCGAATTCGACTCTGTTGATTCTCAAACTTTCAACGAACTCCCCTCAACTTGGCCAAATTCTTGCAACTGTCACTTCACTTCTTCAGCTACCGATATAATCATAGACGTGAATGACAAAGCTCTCTCGAATGAATTCCACAATCTAACTACAGAGTACGCGGAATTTTCAGATATTGATCAACTCCCTCCGATCTTTACAAAAGCATCGAATTCCATCAAGAACATAAAACAGGACGAAAATGTGAAGGCTCAACGAGAAAAGGAACCTAAAAACAGAGTAGGTTCCCCTGTTTCGAGGAAACATTACTCAAGCTCTTCTGGTGTAAAACTACGAACAAATTCTACTAAAGTAGCAAACAAGAGAAATAGTGTGTCATCATCAAAAAGGCGTTCGAAGACGAAAAAAGAGAGTTGTTCAGCTTCAAGAGGGACTAGTTTTGCTATAGTGAAGGCTTCCATTGATCCTGAGAAGGATTTTAGAGAATCTATGGTTGAAATGGTTGTTGAGAACAATATCAGGGCATCGAAAGAGTTGGAAAATCTTCTTGCTTGTTATCTTTCGTTGAATTCAAATGAATATCATGATCTTATTATTAAGGCATTTGAACAAATATGGTTCGACTTGTCTGATCTTCACTTGTAAAAAAAAAGTTACTTGTATTCTCATTTCTTCTAAAAATGTTAAAAAGCACTATTTTTGAAGTTTTTTTTAGCTAACAAACTTGTTCATTACAATCTTTTTTCCCCTTTTCTGATGAGAATATCACTACATCAAAAATGAATTTCGTCGACAGTTAATTAGCAATTGCTGTTAAATATGTATTTTTAGCGGCACTTTGTACTCTTTGTATATGTACTTGAAAATTTTAGCGACATTAGATGTAATAGCTATTGCCAGTAAAGACTTTAACACTCTTTATTAATGCGTCTATTCGTTGTCGCTAAAAGTTATTTTATTGTAATGTATATATGAATGTTCTGTTGGAAAACCCTTTATTTTCCGATAAAGAAAGTAAATGGGGCAGGGCAGGACAGGGCAGGGCAAGGCTTTAACTTGTCAAAGGTTTAACCTTGCCCGTCTTGTCTTATCCTGTCCTATTTAAATTTCGAGGTTGTTGTAGTAAAGCTAGAAGCCGGAAGTATTAGAAATAAGGATGATAGTGAAATAATTATTTTTTACGTTCGCGAGCTTTGGAAAGGAGAAGGGAAGCGTCAAATCCACCTTTTTGCCTCTATTTTTATTTTTCAGGTCTGCGAGCTTATTTTCTTTCTCTAGAGCTTTACAAGTTCATTAAAATAAGTTTCATTTTTTTTTTTTAACAAAAGTCTACTCTGATACAAGATTAAGTTATAAACTTTTATGTGAGATAGATAAACATGTACTTTATTTCACATTATTTTGTCGACCAAAATTATTAAGTTGATTATTTAGTAGACAGAAGAGGTCCACATTAGAATTAAGGTAGTGCAAATACAGAATGTGAAGAAAATATATTGCAAATTATAAATAAAGTATAGTATTATTTTTTAAAGTTTGCACTGTTGTCATAAAGTAAAAGGTGGCCTTCTCTATTACATAATTGTCAAAATGAGTGAACAAACACCTAGATAATTAAGGTACCTTATTGGCTGCCCTTTACACAAATTAATAATGCAAATTTTTTTAGCTGGTCATTGATCGTCAAGTTTCCTTTTTTGGGAACAGTATTGATTGTCATATAAAAAAGATGTTTCCTATTAAAAAAAATAAAAGTTTGAGAGTTAATAATGTAAAGTCTAATCCTACATGGTAATTATGGAGATTAATGAAAAGGACCACAAAGATGTAAATATATAGAGCCAAATTAAAGATGTACGTTATGTTTCAATTGTGTTGGACAATTAGAATCTTGTGAGTTGCTATTGCCCTATTCTTGTAGAAACTTAGTTAGGGGATATGTCTAATTAATTATTGAGGATCGTCTATAATAGGTAAAGATGACGTGATGATGTATATATTCCTTGTATCGTTGATATACACATCTCAAATTAAAAATAATGTAATGAAATATCGTACTTAGATTTAAAACCTCTATCCCACTACACCCTCTTAACTCCCACTGCTACGAGACACTACATAAAAAATGATCATTAACGGTAATTAGTTTAATTGCCGCTAAATATATATTTTTAGCATTTTTTGTATAGGCCCCTAATACCATTAGCGACATTGATTCTAATGACACTTATCTAATGCAGGTAAAAACTCAAGTATTCTTTATTAATGTCAATATTTATTGCCGCTAAAAAGCTATTTTTATTGTTGTGAGACTAATTCAAACCTTAGGTTTACTATATGATGAAATGAATAAACAATAAACTTAAATTCTAATTCCTAATCGAGTGTTTAATATGTACGAGTCTTAGTGTATACATTAAAAAGAAAGGAACAAATTTGAGATGTGTATTCATTCCGGGCTTCATGCATGCTCTCAGTGTCGTAACTACGGATAATTAGTCGAACATCATTTATCGAAAAGTTATATTATATATACATGTCAAAATATAATTTTCATGTAAACATATTTAATATTGAATATTTTTAATGAAATTTTTGACTTTACGAATTAGTTACATAAGTTGCACCAACATGTAACTAGAAACAAAGAGAAAAATTGACAACGTTAACACTAACACCCGACC